AAGAATCAATTCACAAATGTGTTCCTCTAATTTGTATATCATCGGCCTTGTGTATTTGTATATCTTTCCTCAAGAAAAAGAATTAGTCACTTGAATGTCAAAGAATTTTCAGAATATGCAAAAACTGGGCAAAGGACTTTGATAGAAAAATAGAGGTTTTAATGGGTACTTGTTACAGTTAGTGGTGATAATCACTTGTCAGAACATATTTTTCTTACAAAATTAATAAAGTTATCTAAGAATTATTTAAAATGAAGTACCTGGGAAAAATGTCATTTGGGAAATAAGAGCTAGCTAGCTCTTGGAAATTAAAAATGTATAGCAGAAAAATACATAAATAGCAGAAAATCTAAACTATCAATAGAAGGATAGAAAATAAAGTTGAGAAAATTCTCTTGGCTTAAAAAAACCAAAAAGGTTAAAAATAGAAAATAAGAGAAAAAAAATAATATTAACCTAGAGGTACATTTCAGAAAATCCAATATTCAACTAACAGAAGTTCCTGGAAAAGAAAACAGGATAAAGTGAAAAGAAAATTTCTCAGATGCACATAAGTTGCCAGACTGAAAGAGTGCACTAATTATCTAGCATTAATAATAATAATAATAAAAAATACATACTAAGGCATATCATGAAATTTCAGGAAGTCTGAGATAAAGAAGATCCTAAAGATTTCAGAAAGAAAAATTACAGGTGATAGATAAAAGCTCTGGAATCAGAATAGCACAGGGTTTCAACAGCAACAAACGTGGAAAACAATGAATAAATGCATTTGAAAGTGTCTACCTATAATTCTGTAGCTTATCAAATTTTCAGTGCAGTAAGAGAATAAAATAAACCCATTTCAGACATGTTAAGTCTCAAAAAATTTAAATCCCATTAACCTTCCTTGGGAAGCTACACTCCACCAAAAAGGAAAGCAAACCATGAAAGTAGCAGCTATGGAGTCCAGGAAACAGAAGAGGACAAAAGAAATGACCAAGGGGAAGACGAGGCGAAAGCCCAGGGCAAGAGCTATGCCCCAGGTGTAGAGAACCACCAATGTGCCTGTCATAGGCTGAGTTGTGCCTTCCCAAAATTCATATGTCGAAGTTGTCTTAATCCCCCAGACCTCAGAATGTGACTATATTTGGAGATAGAGTCTTTAAAGAGTAAATAAGTTTATAAGAGGTCATAGGGTGGGCACTAATCCAATATGACTGGTGTCCTTACAAGACGGGGAAATATGGACACAGACAAACACAGAAGGAAGACCATGGGAGAATACAGGGAGAAGATGGCGATGTACAAACAAAGGAGAAAGGCCTCAGAAGAAACCAACCCTGCTGACATCTTGATCTTGGACTTCTAGCCTACAGAACTGTGAGAAAATAAATTTCTACTGTTTAAGCCACCCAGTCTGTGGTCATTTGTTATGGCAGCCCGAGCAAACTAATATAGCACCCAACCTGGAACAGGTCAAGAAGGTTCCAGGAAAGATTTTAAACAAAAGAAAATCTGATGTGTTCATTTTATCCATGTTAAGAGAAATGTTATAATAGGTGTTAGAGATTTGAGGATGAATTAGTGATAGGTCCATAGAAAAAGAGGCAAACAAAGTAGGCAAAAATGAGGGGGACAAAAGTGGTACAAGAAATGAAACATAATCATGGTATGCTATGGCTCAGAGGTGAATGATATTTACCTAGTAAATAACTTGAACCTAGAATATTGATTTAACCAAAAGCTGGGAAATAACTATACTGAAAAGATGAGGTAACAAAAGGGTGTATGTCAGTAGATGTTTTTTAAAAAAAACTAAATCCTCATCTTCCACAGTAGGAAGTCAATAGGTAATATCACAAATTGAAAAATCAAGAAGTGGAAATATAAGCATAGTATTTAAATATGGAGGCAAATACAGAAGATAATGCAAAAATCCTTAGTGACTGCCTTTGGGGAGTGATAATAGGGTAGGGCAGTGGGTGGTGATGACTGGGGACTATTCTTTTTCATGGTAATCTTGGTTGAACTATTTGAACTTTAAACTACTCATATGTGTGGTTTTTTTTTAATAAAAATAAAATTTAAAAGCTTAGAACGCTAAAGACCTTTTAAAAAGGAGTTGCTGGTCCTTTCGGCCAGAAAACTTTCAATGGTATGGTGTGAGCAGAAGCCAGAACTACACTGTTTTGAAGAATAAATGAGACAAAAGATAGGAAAAGGAGACTAATTTTTAACAAGGCTGTTGATAACTGAAATAGGAAGAAGGGAACAATAGTGTCAAGAAAGGTTTTTTGGGGCAGCCAGGGGGCTCAGTTGGTTAGAGCGCAAGCAAGCTCTGACCAACAGGGTTGCTGGTTCGATTCCCACATGGACCAGTGAGCTGCGCGCTCTGCAACTGGATTGAAGACAACGACTTGAGCTGAGCTGCAGCTGAGCTGCCAGGGTGCAGCCGGATGGCTCAGTTGGTTAGAGCGTGTGCTCTTAACAAGAAGGTTGCCAGTTCGACTCCCGCATGGGATGGTAGGCCACGTCCCCCGCAACTAGACTGAACACGGCACCTTGAGCTGAGCTGCTGCTGAGCTGCCGATGGGCGGCTGGCTCAGCAGGTTAGAGTGCGTGCTCTTAACAACAAGGTTGCTGGTTCGACTCCCACATGGGATGGTGGGCTGTGCCCCCTGCAACTTGATTGAAAATGGCGACTGGACTTGGAGCTGAGCTGCGCCCTCCACAACTAAGATTGAAGGACAACAACTTGACTTGGAGCTGATGGGTTCTGGGAAAAATACACTGTTCCCCACTGAAGTTAAAAAAAAAAAGTTTTTTGAAGGTGGTGGTGCTTATATGATGGCACTTCTGCTGGCAAGGTCCTTCTTAGAAACTGCCTGCCAAGAAGCCATCAGAACTATTGGACTAGCAGAGTCCCATACCTGCCCCTGCTTGTTCTTTTTGCCTTACCTGTTGTCTTGCTCCCATTTCTTTCCAAGTGAGCCTTCATGATGTATCCTTGGGAACAATTTCACAAGAGCAGCCTTTTAGCAAGAGAGCTCATATCTCTGTTAAATGTGGTAGGCAGAGAAAAGCTTCATGAACCATCACTTAGATGAAGGGTAGCAACTTGAGCCAACTAATTAGACATAGACCAGGGCAGTAGTTGAATTAGAGCACTTCCCTAGGGTCAGGTTCCATATGTTGTTCATATATAAAAGAGCACAGAGAAAATAACTATCACATCAGACAGTCTGATACAAATTTTCAAAATCAGAGGCTTAAAAAAAATTAAGCCAAGTTGCTGAAGTATTCATCAAATATCTACTGAGGCTTATGATGTCAAGATGGTGAGATACTTTCATAAACAAAGAAAGGTTTCTGGCTTCCTTTGCAACTAAAAATAACTGACACCTCTCAAGTGATCCATCTGTGTGTTCCAGAGGTAAACAAGCAAAAGAGACAATTTAGAAAAAGACAAGGTCAAGGCACCTCTCCACTGTGAGAGGCAAGTGGAGAAAGATCCCAGCTAGTTATGTTTAACAGAGAAGCAAAAACACAAGGAGCCATACAGGTCTTCCCAGACATCCCAGACTTTTTTTATATGTCATATCCTATTCTGTTCATTAAGCTATCTTTATAGTCTATAAAAGTTCTCAAGTTTTCTGAATTGTTCTACCCAGCTAGTCCCAATTACTCTGTCAGGTAAATACCCAGCATTCCAGTTTACCAATCAGTCTCTCCTGATCAATTGACAATTAATACCTAAAAGTTTATCCATTGTGTTAGATGGCATATCTGACAGTTTGGTGAAAGGAAGTTGGTCAAATCCCACAATAGAATGCCAAAGAAAGAAATGTCTAACCACAAAAATACCACAACTAATTAATTACAAATAGTGATTAGGTTCCAAAGAGATTGTTTCCTAGGTAGATTTTAATAGAAATCTTGAACAGTTAGGGTTAAAAAAAGACACCCTTAATGATTGGGTCAATAATAGAACATGGCAAAATAGAACGTGACTAAAAATTTTTGTACATACACATCCATATCACAAGTCTAGTCAAAAGAAAATACATAGAAAAGATAGAATTTTTTAAAATTATGTACAAGGGATGTTCTTTATTACTTTATCAGTCTGAAATAACATCTTTTAAAAAAAATTAAGACTGGAACAACAGATTACTTTCTTCACTGTTGCAAATACTGCAAATTTATCAGCAAAGAGTTAAGTATCAATATAAGTTTTGCTTAAGTTTGAACACATAAGGGAGAAATAAAATAGATTTATAAACCTCATTTGACCTGATCTTATAAAAAGTCACTCCAGCTGTCTTCTGTTCTGCTGTCTCCAGACAGATTTTCAGGATAGGTTTGTGTCACTCAGTCCATCCACAATAGCTCTGATAGGACAGTCCATAGTAACTGCCAGGATACCGCCTATTATTCTGGACTACTCGACTGGCATTTGGCTTTACATTCCAAGAGTACGTTCTTCGTGAATAGTCCTCCCCAGGGGGACCAGGAGGATGGTTATGGCCTCTCTGGTAAACATACTGATTCTGTGAAAATTTTCTTAAAACAAAAAGTAATAAACTATTATTAGTTTTAATAAAATATATAATAAGCTTTATAAAATAATACATAGATACTCTGGTTCTACTGTTTTCTACCTGTGTGACCTTAGTAGAAAAATTGCTTAATCTTTGTATTTCTTAGTTCTTTTCTGTTCAAATCCTTTGCAAATGTCTCTACTAGAATTTTACTATTTTCTCTATATTTTGTATTTACTCTTTAAATAACAATCTCCCTTATTCTGAAAACTATATCATTATTAACGTCGCCAAAGAATGCAAGATCCTTCCTGGAAGTCACATCAAATTATTGTTGGTTTAAACTAAGCTTATAATCAATGAAAATTTCTAAGTCCCTTTCCCAACTGTCTCTCAAAAGTTACGTATTTCCCATCCCATACATGATTTTCCGGCCCGAAATACAAAATATGGAGCAAATGATACCTCCTAGTTGACACTGATCAGTAAGAAAATGTCAGTTCCTCACCATTATCATAATGTGTTTGCATTAATTTATAACATTTACTATTAATTTCTATTTCAATTCTGGAAAAAGGGAAAGCAGAGATACCTTACTGACTGCTGCGAATCTCGGGTCTGGGTGTGGAAATGCCGAGGAGGTGTTGGATAACCTTGGGTCCAATGTATGTTATTGCTAGGTCCTTGGTTAACAGCCTTATTGGTGGTGTGGACTGGTTCCATCCTATATGTTGAGTATTCACGAGCACTTGGTCTGGATACACTGGAATTCCGATCCCTCAAAAAAGAATATTTGTATACACAGTGTGACTGGTTTCCAATTTAATAGCCAATTTAGTGTCGATATTTCAGCCTATGAAACACAATCTCATCCTCCCCCACACTCCGATTTGTTTAGGTTTCCCTGGGCAAGTACACAAGCTACAAGAAGAACAGGTATGTGCAACTTAAATGATATAAAAGCAGATCACCCTAACCACAAATCTCACATATAAAATGCAACTTACTTTCTGATGGGACCATTCTGAAGGTCTTCAATGTAGTTTTGTCTTTCTAAGCAATGTCCCCGGCACCTATTGAATACTGAGGAGTTGAAGAACTGTTAGAAATAACAGTACAAAAAGCAAATCTTTTCCAGAGACAGCAGATCAAAGCTGAAATCCACTAATTATTCAGGCTGTTAAATCTCACTATTTCCAGATACATCATTTTATAAACTTTTGGTAAAGATAATCTATGTCAGAACAATGAATTACAAACTTTTCTTTTTCTCTAAAATTTGACAAATTCATCTACATTTCCACCTTCAACTTTTATAAATAGGGAAAAACAGTTGACAACCCTCGTACTTACATTCAATTGCATCATCTGGCCTCATGCCTTCTACATCAATCAAATATCTAACAAAACAACATAATTCGAGTCATTTTTATATTAAAAGAAAAAATCAAGTTTTTTCAGAAAAGGTCTAATTTCATTTATAAATATAGATATAAAAATCCTAAGAAAGTATCAGCTCATCTAATCCTATAATTTTAAATAACAAAATACCATGACCACAAAAAGGCTTTATGCCAAAGATGCAAGGATGACCTAACTTTAGAAAATCTATTAATAAAATTATTTACATTAATACAACAATTTAATTAATAAATGAAAAACAAAATACAGAACCAAATCAGCGGGTGTTAAAAAATGTATCCGACAGGGCCACCTGAGTGGCTCAGTTGGTTAAGAGCGCGAGCTCTGAGCAACAGGTTGCCNGCCAGTTCGATTCCCGGCCCGAGCTGAGCTGCCGCTGAGCTGCCAACAGGTGGCAGGATGGCTCAGTGTAAAAAAAAAAAAAAGTGAGAATGCTTTGCTCACAGAAACCACAAGAGAACCATTATAGTCAAGCGAACAACCTGAAAGACAAAGACACGGTGGCATAAACATGTACAACACAGTGTACAATTCAGGAAATGGCTGGCATACTGACAAATGGGAGTGGAATACAGCAAAGGCTGTCAAAAGGCGGCTGGGAGTCAGATCACAGAAGGCCTTGCCAAGGCCTTAGAAGTGGATTCTGAAGTCCATTAGCCATTCAAGATTTCCAAGAGGGGAATAGCATGAATGAATTTGTTTTCAGGACATAATTCTGGGGCAGTTGTTAAAAGTACTTTAGAAAGGTGGTTCAGACAGGATCCTGGATGGGGTCCCCTCCATAGTAGGACCAAATCATGACTTAGGGTACTCAATGGACTACACTCCTGGGACATGAGGCATAAAAGTCAAACTTACCAGACTGAAGATAAACCCAACACCCACTTTTATTGGCTCATTTATAGTCTCATTACACTGGTTGGATTGCATTCATGCCTATGTCTCTACTCCCGAGCCAAAATGACAGTAAAGGAATTTTTACAGATTAAAAACTCACAAGAGAATGCGAGAGATGACAAAATGGTAGATGAGAGAGAGCAATAAAATTATCAAAGATGGTAGTGGTCAGAATGGAGAAAAATAAAACCTAAATGTGTAGAGCACGGAGAAAGTAAACAAAAAGCCAGCTGACCACCTTATTACAAATCTACCACAACAAACCAGGGCTTCCATTGGCTTTAAATGCTTCAATCATAAATACAGAGAAATGCGCAAAGGAAACCAGGTATTTCAAGAACCCCTCCAACATGAGAGACAGGTATCAATAAACAGGAAGAAAAAAAAGAAAAAGAAGGAAAACAGTTGATGCAGGGAACAGAAGAAACCTAAAAATAACTGATAACTTGAGAGAGAAAAAATAATACATCCATTAAAAAAAGAATCAATTCGGGCCGGCCGAGTGGCTCAGTTGGTTAAGAGCTCGCTCGAGTGTGAGCTCTGAGCAACAGCGGTTCGAGTCCAGCCCAAGCTGAGCAGCCGCTGAGCTGCCAACAGGTAGCAGGATGGCTCAGCTAAAAAAAAA